CACACTTTTCCCTAAGGTTTGCTGGTTGTTTTTTTGTTTGTTTGTTTGTTTGTTTAATTATTAGAGATTATGTTTGCTGAAAATCAGCCTGAGTTATACAAACTTTTTCTTAGGTCTTCTCTGAGCCCAACCCTTCTGAACTTGCACAATGACTTTCTAATTTTTCCCATGCTATAGTTTGGAACTAGAATGATCCCCAAAAGACCATAAGTTAAAGGCTTTTTCCTCAGAATGGCCCTAGTAGGAAGTTGTAGAACCTTTAAGAGGTGGCCCTTTCAAGTCTTTAAGGATATGGCCCTGAGGGCATATTGGGACCCTTTTTGCTTGTGGACACAGGCCCAAAAGCAATGAAATCACCTGTTCATGGACTGAAACCTTCAAAAGTGTGAGCCAAAATAAACCTTTTGTCTTTCTAAGTTCATTATCTCACATACTTAAAGCCGACTAGCACACTCCATATCTACAGTTGTTTTAAGTGACCTAGTTTTCAATGTTTGGCTCCCAAAAAGCCTAAGGGACAAAAATGAAGTGGGCTGGGGCAGGAGGAGCCACCAGGCCTTTAAATCCCCTGAAATTTACTTCAGCCAGAGGAGAAGGTGTTCCTAACAATGGGGAGGGGGTTTAATAGTGATTGGTGGCTACCTAATCTTTGTACCTTTGTGTTAAGAAAAAGCTATTAGTAATCAGAGAACAGACCCCCACTTCCCCCAGGATTTGAGGGATAGGTGCTTATTTCCCACTCTGTCTCCTATAGTCTGGGTCTAGTGTGCTGTAGGAACATGTGCACAGTTGCTTATTCCGGGGCAAAGGGACAGGATGGATGGCTGCTACATGCTAACAGCAGAGATTGATTGAAATTAACCATAATTTATCATCCAAATCTTTCCCTGGAGGTTTCAAGCTTACTTTGGACGCTGACGTTCCACAACAGTGAGACATCTACAGATTCTGCAGGGCAGTGGTTGTCTAGGTGGGAAGACAGTATGCTTCCTCCTCTGCCATGTTTCCAGAATCCTCCCCCTACCATTGCCACTGGCTTTTATTTTTTTTTAAATACAACAGAAAATTTATTTCTTGCACACATGAAGTTCACAATGAGTGTTCCTAAGGGCAACTGGCTCTCCTTTAAGATGGACCTAGCCTACCTTGTGGTTCTTCCATCTTTAACACATGACTTTGAATGTTGTTCTGTTTTCTTACATTCAACCATAGAAAGGTAAGTGCATAGGAAAAATTTTATGGACCAGTTCTAGAAGTGGCATATATCACCTCATTTGATTAGAATTCAGTCACTAATATATTTAATTGCAAGGGAGGCTGGAAAATGTCCATCTAAATGCCCAGTCATTTTGCCCCTACCACGATTGGTCTCATCCATGACATTTCCCACAATGTCATTCTCAAAAGGAAACTGGAACTTTAATTTGGGGTTGACATTACTTTCTTTATTTGGTTCTTTCTGACCTAAAAGATGGAAAGAATAAAAACAGGCCCTGGAATTATTAACTTTCTCCACCAGTTGCCTTCTCTCTCCTCTGCTTTAGAGTCAGACTTTGGAAAAAACCATCCACGTTTGCCCTCTCAATCCATCAGTATACCCCAGTTGGCTTCTGGTTTCATCACTTTCCCCAGAAGGTTTTTGCTAATGTAACCAGAGGCCTCTAGTCACCTAAAGAGAGCAGCTGCTTTTCGGTCTTCACCTAAATTGGCTCCTCAGCAGCATCTGGCACCATTCCCCACTACCTCCTCCTTTCTCTGCTCTTGTCACCCAAAGCTCCTGGGTAGGACCTCTTTCCTCCCTATACTCTCTCTAGGGCTCTCATTCAATCCTGTTGCTTCGTTACCACATACATACACACAGTTCATTATTCTCTTCTCCAGCCCAGACCTGTCCACTAAACCTCAGCCCTATTTGGACAATTGCCTACTTATGACCTGTCTTTACAGCTAAGAGATAATTCAGACCAAACACATCTAGAAGCATACTTTTTATCTCTGTCTTTTTCCTTGACTCTAACCCTCACCAGCCAACACACTTTCAAGAACCTGCAAAGGCAGTAATTTGGGGCTCTTCAGTTACTTTGGTTACACAGGCCAGAAACTGAGCTGCACCTTTACTTCTTTCACCTCTCACACCCACTCCAACACTAAAGCCTACTGTTCTTAGATCCATTTTTTTCTCACATTCACCTTCACTTCCCACTCTGTTGCAACCTGCCAGCATTTGTAGTACAGACTACTAAGAAAAGCTCCGGTGTCTATCTACTGCAGCCTCTCTGATCAGATGGAGGATAGTGCTGCTCGCAAAATGCAAATCTTATCGTGATATAGCAAAGAAAATTTGGCTCAGCATTGTGACTTGACTTCTTACTTTAGATTCATCTCTCACCATGCACCCCACATCTACCCACCTCTTTCTACCCCTACTCCTTCCTACATGCTGCTCCTTCCACACAAGACCTTGCCTATGCTGTTCATCTTACTGAAAAGCACGTGTTCCAACCTTCTCATCATCTACTCTTATTCACCCTAAATGGCTAATTGTCACCTCTAGGAAGTTATCCTCACTTCCAATGGTTAGCTCAAATGTCCCTGTTTTGGGCTCTCCTAACACCTTGACCCTCTCTTCTGAAGTTATCAATTGCAACTTGAGGCTCATTTGTATAATTATTGGGTTGAATCTGTAAGCAACATAGGAACAGAGGCTAAGTCTGTTTTGTTTGTTGCTGTATCCTCCACTCTCAGCTTATACCTGCATATATAAAGTGTAAGAGCAGCTAAGATATATTGACATATGTGCCAGGTACTGTTCTAACTGCTTTGCATAGATTGTTCTCATTTATATCCTACAACAGCCCTGCAAGGAAAATACCATTATTCCCCCCTCCTCTTTAGAAATGAGTAAATGAAGACATAGATAATTTGGGCATAATCATTTAGGTAGTGAGAGACACAGCTGGGTTTCATTCCCAGATAGACTAGTTAGTCTATCTGACAGGCCACATACCAACTGCTACACTGGAGGCAATACCATGCATATTTGCTGAATGTGTGAATGGAAGGTAAATAAAAATTCACTCCCAGATATTTATGTGCATCTCACACAGACACAGAAGCTAGGTGTTTGTGCTCTCTACAGTGCTTTCTGGCTCCAGAATTTCTGTGACTGGGGCATGAGTAGGGAAATGGGAAAAGTTAGTCCTAACTTCTCTGAATTTCCAGATGTGCCAGAGTCTGAGCAGCTATAAAGGTCCAGCCTCATCTCCCTGAAGAGAGCAATGGGAATCATGCCACATCTTCACCTCCAGCCCAGTCGGGGCTGTGAATGCCTCCTCCCTTACTTCCTGTGCCTCTCTGTCCTGCCAATTACATCTTCTGTAGTGCCTCCCTATTGCTATTTCTCCAAATACTGAACATTTTTCAAAGTCAAGCTTAGAGGCCACAGAGAATCTCTTGCTAATCAAACCATTTCTCTCAAACCTCCCCATTCTACTACTAATAAAAGTAATATAAAAACCCAAAATATAAGGTGGAATAGCACACAGGCATTGGAAGTATCTAGAGGCTACTGGAGGATGCTACCGTGATAGCATTATTTTTCTTATATTTTTATTTTTGGGAATACCAGGGATTGAACTCAGGGGCACTCGACCACCGAGCCATATGCCCAGCCTATTTTTTGTATTTTATTTAGAGACAGAGTCTCACTGAGTTGCTTAGCACCTCGCTTTCACTGAGACTGGCTTTTGAACTTGCAAGTCTCTTGCCCTAGCCGCCAGAGCTGCTGGGATTACAGGCATGCACCACCGTGCCTAGCTGAAAACAAATCTTTTTAAAAAAATGGTTTTAGAGGAAGAACAAAACACAAGATGGTTAAGTTCTTCAACCCCTGTCCCATCATAAAAGGATTTTTAGGGTTATGGGCTTCCAATAGAAGTATGCTATGCAAGAAGCAGCCTCTGCTCAGCTGGTGAACTGCCACAAGTCAGGAAATATAGAGAAGGACATAAAGAAGTGGAGCCCTCCACAGGAAAGCAGAAATGCACATTCCACCAGGAAAGTGCTGATATGGTGTTTCTGATCAGTTCCATGATTCACCCCATCGCTCAAGTCATGGGCAGGTAAACAGAGATTAAACATTTATATCAAAACACCCAGTGCTCATATGCTTCCTCAGAAAAAAAAGGTAAACATCAGTGGTTCTGAGTGAATCTGCAGCCCTGTCATGCATTGTTTTGGTTTGTTTGGTTTTACAAAGAAAAACCAAACAAACCAAAACAATGAGACAGATCTGACTACGTTGCCCAGGGTGACCACATATCCCAAGTGATCCTCCTGCCTCAGCCTCCTGAGTAGCTGAGACTACAGATGTGAGTCACCACACCTAGCTATCCTGCAGTTTTTGATGTGTATAATCTAGTTTCTCCCACTCGTTAAATCTCTTAATAGAACTTTGTGGCAAGAATATTTCTCCACTTTCTGTTGGTATTGAGAAATCAACATGTGCTACCTGGAAACAGCTCAGGAAGCTAATTACACCTGTGGAAATTCATGAAGTAATGATGTCTAGGACATATCACACACAGTCATACGGTGAGGATGTCTTATTATACTTGCATAACATTTCCCAGCTTATAAAGCAATCTCACATATTTTTTCATTCACTTTCCACCACAGTCCTCAGTCTCCCCTAGATGTCCTCAGTCTCCCCTAGATGTTCTCTGCTCACACAACACCCCAGGTATGCCCTCAGCAGAACTCTCTTTCCTGGATCTAAGACAGCTCCATCACTGCAGACTGATCCATGGGGTATTCTTATGAACACATCCCAAGGTTGGGTCATGGAATCACTGACTCCTCCTCAAGTGAAGAACCTGGGACTCAGGAAGTTGACAGACTTAACTAATCTGGCACTTTGATGAGCGCCTTGTAGATACATTCTGCTTTGGAGCCCTGCGTGGTCTCCCTCGCACTCCATATCTGCACAGCAGTAATTTTACCTGAGAGTTCATCAGGCGAATGGTAGTTTTCGTGCCCACATCTTGTTGGAAGTTGGCCGTGGGTGCCCCATTAAACCTCAAGACTGCATCATGATCATCTGTAAACCACAAGGAAATAGAAAATATGTGATGAGTACTAGCAAGATGCAGGAAGAGAGAAGGACAGGAGGGAGAAAGGCAGGAGGAAGGGGAAGGAGCAAGACAATACTGCCTCCTGATCTTTATCCCCTCGTGTTACACAGGGGGAAAAGGAATATTTGTGTGGTTCTCAGGTCAAGGTCATAGATGGAGATGACTACTTATCTGCCATCACTGCAAAATCTAGAGGGGTCCATACTATTCATTCATGAAACCCATCCAATGGCAGTAGTATGCTGGGACATGGCAGGAAAGTGAACAGGGCCAGTGTGCTCACTAGTAGTGTAATCACTACTCCAGTTATCAAAGGAACAAACCAAATGTTCTCTAGGTATTACCAGTGGATCATATTTCTATCCCTATCAGGAAAATAAAGATACTACCATATATGCAGTCTGTGTACAAGTACAAAGCAGCCAATGCACTCGGAAAAATGTGCAATGCCCAGCAAATGGAAGGGATTCACTATGGCATCCAAAACACCCCTAAGTGTCCCATTTGGGAACCTGAGGCCCATACAAGGGTCAAAAACCTGGTCCAGCAGAAATGGGACAGGAAGTCAGAATGCTGAAGTCCACATATTGTTTTGTTTTAATAAACACTTTGTCAGAAAGAATACACAATATTAAATCCAGTCAAGATCAAACAAACCATCTCTAAAACACCTGATTAATTCCTGGGCCCTACCTCTTTGAAGCTATTTAAGCAGAGTTTGGAGAAGTTGACCAATCTAATAGGGGACGGTGATGACCTTTAAGAATCTTCCTAGCCCCGAGTCTCTGTCATCTTACAAGAGCTCATCCTAACCTTACTTGATCAAGCAAGTTTGGGGTTCACCATCAAAATCTGCACCAGATTTGGGGTTCAGCCCAATTATCTATAGTCTCATTTTCTTCCATGTGTGCTTTTATGGGGTTGCTCTTTATCCACTCAGATGGGACTGGGAAACAAAAGACATTTGGTTCCACATAAAATGTTCTGGAAAGGGGATGACCACAAAGTTAGCGTTGGGGGAACTTTCCTCTTTATTTTAATACCAGTGTGTATACTAAACCTCAGGAATGCAGTCACCTCCTTCAGGGAAACAACTTAGCCCTATCCCCAATCCCAGGATAAAATGTCATCAAAGTGGTTTGAGATAAGCACAGTCCAAATTTCATCAACCTAAGGGGAGGCACAGTGGACAGCAAATAGGGCAGGAGGTATATCTTTATACAACTCAATTGCAACAAGATTTGTCGGAATCAGTCACTGGTTTCAAAAGCAGTCACTAGTAGTCACAAGAGATGCAGATCCATCAGAAACTGCACTTAGTCAACTTTGTCATTCCACAGATGAATAAATTATCAGTGAGAATCCAGTTAAGTAACTGAGAGTTTCATAAAAGGACTATTTACAAAGTCGTGGGTAGAGTTTAAGAAAATCAGCATGGAATGGACTGATCCCCAGAGTTGACTGCTGCACTACCCCAGGGCTGGCTGCCATTACTATCCCCCATGTGTAATATGACACTAGGAGCAGAGACATGGGCTAAGGAGGGCCACTGTCAAGAGCTATGGTCTTCAGGAAAGGAACAGAGCCTCTGCTAACAACCTCAGCCGGCAAGAAGGAGGCTGAGGTTGACGCCAGTGTGTATACAAAAACCTTGGGAAAGCAGTCACCTCTCTTTCCTCCTTCCTTTGGCTCTTGTTGGCTTGAAAGGGAACAGGAAAAGCTGGAAACTGACAGAGCTGCCTGAAAGGGGTTGCGATCTTCAGTCAAGAGTCAAGGTAACTCTGCAGGGCACACCTGGAGACACTCTCCTTCACAGCTTCAAGTTGGAGCTTCTTCTGGCCAGTTCCAAATCAAAGCTAGTGGGAGAGGGACATCCACTGACCCAATTTCAACTTCCAGGAAATAGATGCAGATGGGAAAGAATGAAGGATGAGAGTGAAAGGGTAAATAGAGAATACCCAACCCATCAGGCTTATCATGAGGATAGGTCCTTGATGTTTCCGTAAGCAAGGAGAATCTTTTGTTCATGCCTACTCTATGCCAGGCACAGTTCTGGGCACTGGAGACAATGGTTGTGAGAAAGAAAGACCTTACATTCTACTGCCTGCAGAGATAATTAATAAATAGAACAACCTACGTGTAATATAAGCGTGACGAGTAACTGACACACATAAAGTGAGTTGTATGACACATAAAGTGAGTTCTGTGAGTTGTGTGAAGTGAGTTGAGCACTGAGGGAAACCCTTTTTGTTAGAGGAATGATTCAGGGAATACCTCAGAGCTGAGACCCAAAGGTTGGCCAGGCATGGAAAGGGCCCAGGGAAGTCCATCCCAACTAGAGGATGCCACAATTGTGAAGGTCAAGTCCAGTGCAAGGATTTGGCTGGAGATGAGTGAGTGAAAGGAAGAAATAGCAAGGATGCAGTTAAAGAGGTCAGCAGGAATCTGACAGTGCAGGGCTGGGAAGGCCTGGTGAGAAGGTTGGATTCAATTTTTCAAAACACAACAATAATAAAAAAAAAAAATCATGAAAAAGGCCAGTGACTTGGTATCATAAAGAAAAGGGCTGGGATCCTTGTTTGCTAAATCATCCTTTGCTATTGAAGGCTGCAGAACTTTCAAACTCACACAGGCCTCCAGGAAATCACCAAGAAAAATCTACAACTAACAGGATCCCAGCAAATAAGTCAGACAAGCAGAAAACAGAAGCTACCAGTTCTCCCTAACTTAGAAGAGAACATAAAGAAGAAAAAGAAAGTATGTATAAATGCATCACTATATGCAGATGATATAATTACCTGTCTACAAAATTCAACCCAAACAGCTCAAGCTAGTAAATTCATAAGTAGATCAAAATTCACTACCTCCAAGTGTAGTAACTAATTAAGTAAAAAAATATGATAAAAGAAATTCTATCACAATTTATCACTAAACATTTTTTATATTTTCAAATTAGCTTTCAAAATTATATAACCTAGAAAATTATACTTTATCTGGTGTGCATGTGGTAAGGATTTTCTCCTAATTTGTAGGCTCTCTCTTCACATTACTGATTGTTTCTTTTGCTGAGAAGAAGCTTTTTAGTTTGAATCTATCCCATTTATTGATTCTTTATCTTACTTCTCACACTTTAGGGATCTTGTTAAGGAAGTCAGATCCTAAGCCAACATAGTGAAGATTTGAGCCTACTTTTTCTTCTATTAGCTGCAGGGTCTCTGTTCTAGTGCCTAAATATACTATAGATACTCTTTGATCTACTTTGAGTTGAGTTTTGTGCAGGGTGAGAGACAGAGGTTTTTTTGTTTGTTTGTTTGTTTGTTTTTTAATTTTTATTGTTGGTTGTTCGAGATAGAGGTTTAATTTCATTTGTTACAAGTGGTTTTCCATTTTTCCCAGCACCATTTGTTGAATAAGTTATCTTTTCTCCAATGTATATTTATGGTGCCTTTGTCTGGTATAAGATAATTGTAATTTTGTGGGTTTGTCTCTGTGTCCTCTATTCTGTATTCTATTGGCCTATATGTCTGTTTGGTACCAATACCATACCATTTTTATTACTATGGCTCTGTAGTATAGTTTAAGTTCCAGTATTGTGGTGCCTCCTGCTTCAGTCTTGCTAAGGATTGCTTTGGCTATTCTGGTTCTCTTATTTTTTCAAATGAATTTCATGATTGTTTTTTTCTAGTTCTATGGAGAATATCATTGGGATTTTAATAGGAATTGCATAAAATCTGTATAGGATTTTTGGTAGTATGGCCATTTTAAACAATCTTAATTCTGCCTATCCAGGAGCATGGAAGGTCCTTCCATCTAACCCAATCAAATAAATGGGCTAAGGATGACACTTCACAGAAGAAATACAATTAATCAATAAATATAAGAAAAAAATGTTCAACATCTCTAGCCATTAGAGAAATGCAATCAAAACTACACTGATGGCTGAGGATACAGTTCAATTGGTAGACTACTTGCCTCATATGCACAAAGCCCTGGGTTGAATCCCCAGTGCCACCAAAAAAAAAAGAAAGAAAGAAAGAAAAAAGAAAAAAAAGCCTACACTGAAATTTCAACCCATTCCAGTCAGAATGGCAAATATCAAGAATACAAGCAACAATAAATGTTGGCAAGGATGTGGGGAAAAAAGCACACTCATACACTGCTGGTGGGACTGCAAACTGGTACAACCACTCTGGAAAACAGTACGGAGATTCCTTAGAAAACTTGGAATGGAACCACCATTTGACCCAGCTATCCCACTCCTTGGTTAATATCGAAAAGACTTAAAATCAGCATATTATAGTGTCACAGCCACATCAATGTTTATAGCAGCTCAACTCACAATAGTTTACTATGGAAACAGATGTTGAATATGTTTATTCATTCAACAGATGAATGAATAAAGAAAATATGATATATATGTATATATAAATGATGAAATATTACTCAGCTTTTAAAGAAGAATGAAATTATGGCATTTCCTGGTAAACGGATAGAGTGAGAGAATACATGCTAAGCGAAACAAGTCAATCCCAAAAACCAAAGGCAGAATGTTTCTCTGATATGCGGATGGTAATACACAATACGGGGTGGGGGAGTGGTGGAGTGGAGCGGGGGCACTATGAAAGAATAGAGTTACTTTAGATTAGGCAGAAGGGAGTGAAGGGATGGGGAGGGGTATGGGGACAGGAAGAATAGTAGAATGAAGCACACATATATGACTTAATGACTGATTTGATTCTACAACATGTACAATCAGAAAAATGAGAAATTATACTCTATTTATGTATCATATATCAAAGTGCATAAATGCACTCTACTCTCATATAATTAGAACAAATGAAAATAAAAATAAATATATAACCACTTATGGAAGACTACATTCTAATTGTGGCAGGAGAAACTAAATATACTATAGATCGGGGTTAGGAAACCATGGCCTGCAACCAAATCTGGCCCACCTCTCATT